CTCTCAGGATCAGTACCAGTTTTGTTACAGAGCTGGGTTGGAGTATCTCGGGAGCTTCGACCACTATGCAACATAGGATCTTCGTCCCGCTGTCAGGGAGACGGATCGGCCATCGGACATCCAGCGGTCATTTAATTCTTCTGAGCCATAAATACCTGCTTGTGAAAAGAACTTAAACTCTTCGATTATATGTTGGATGTGCAACGTAAACCTAGAAATACTTACAAACGACAATAAAAAGACAAATATCCAGGTGGACCAAGAAAAATCACCCTGATCTGATTTCAAAAAGTAAATAATGAATGAATAAATAGTAATAATGATAATAATAATAATTTCAGACAGGTGAATCTAGACTGCTGAAGTGCGGAATAATCGCTGCTTCGAGGATTCATGAATCATAAAGGAGTCAACGAACACAGACGCTGTGAGACGGGGAGCTCGAGACACAGTGTAAAGAGAATTTGTTTTGTTCCACAATCAATACGAGGAGATACGTCACTGATGAAGAGAGGAGACTTCATCACGACCACCACCATCATCATCATCGCCATCATCGCCATCATCGAAGAAGACTAAACGAACAGAGCTGAAGTAATAACTACGACACGTAATCAACCACACCGATAACGCATACCAGCTTTTGTTTCACATTTCGTGATGTTTTCCTCTCTTTTATGACAGAAATCAGCCTAGACTGACCGTTTTTTCTCATGTCTTTGTATGGGTTAGGGTTAGGGTATGTTCATGTATGTCCTGATGTTCGCACCCATGTGCCCTCCTTCATTCATCGTTTTGCTGGTGGTTTGTGGCGTTTTGTTTGAAACACACATGCTGAATCATGGGGTGGGCAGAGTATAAAGGTTAGAAGATATCTCAGTTCTTCTATGAGCAGAGAGAGAGAGAGAGATATTAATAAATTCTTTATTTATATAACCTTGAAATGTATATTCACAAAATATAGATATATAGATGATATAATATATGGGAATGATGGTGGGTTTTCCGCTGGAATGCACATCAGCAGGACGGACGATCTTTTCTTGTGCAATAACTAGACGTTTTACGGCCGGAGGGTTCGATTTGCGTCGGTTTAACGAGGACGGGGCGATCGTCGTCATGTTCACGAGCTCATGGGTCAAAGGTCATCGTCATGCATCTGTTAGGCCACAGGTACGAAGATGTCCACGTGTTCATTCTTTTGCATTTAGAGTGCCTTATATTTATGCCTGTTCTTTTCTACGATATTCATTTAACGACGTGTATAGTTTAAGTAGTTCATGTACGAGTATTTATCGATTGATTTCCCACGCGTACGGATTTATATTCTATGAAATTATATATGCAAATACGTAATTCCATCATTACTGTTTAATTTTCTGTGGCCTTAATTTGGCTCAGAGAAAAAAAAAAACGACAAGGGTACGAAAAAGAAAGTGTTCGATAACCGTCAGGCCCGATACTGTTAAGTCATTTCTTTTATAGTTAATCGTTAGAGTTCCCAAACGGCACCGAGACGAATTAATTACGTCTTTTAAAGACCAAGCTTTAGCGTCAAATTCCCTGTTGTTTTCAGTCATCGGTGGCAGAAAATGGTGTCAAATAAATGCCAAAATAAATGAAAGACCCTGAAAATCCTGCAAAGCTCTTGCCGATTAGCTACTAAGTATTTTATCGTGCGAATTTCGCAGCTAGAATATTACAATTCAACACTTGAACCTCACTGGCTTTGTGGATGTGCATTCCAGATGCTTTTTTCCCCTTTCTTGTTTCAAATAGAGAAAGCGTTTTATTGTTTTGACTCTTTCTGTTGTTGATTTCGGATGTTTTCATCATCATATGTCGAGCAACAGGCAGCCGTTGCGTAACTGTCAGCGCCACCTAGTGTTCAGCGCTTCGATGTGCTCCACGTCGGCTTTTCTTTCCCTGTTCTGGATCTTATTTGATATGCATGAGTTCAACTGCAGTGGGGGCGAGTAGGAAGAATTGCACTTTGTATCTCTTTATCTCTATGCACTGCCCTACTGATTCCGCACCCATTACGGATTTTACTTGAACCCGACTGTACGAATCTCCTTCAGACTTCACTTGGTGTGTATGTAAATAACACAGAAAAGAGACTACCCAAGTAATAAGAGAGAGAGAGAAAAAAATAAGAGAAAGGAAAAGCAAATCGGTTGCGGAAAAAAAGCATCTTTAGCAGGTGATTTCGAAGCGTCACTTCTTCCCCCGTTGAAAGACTGAAGCGTCACGAGCGCAAACGTACACGTGGTGTTTCTAAGCTCCCTGTTACTCTCACATCTGGATGCATAGACTGAAATTAATTCAATTCAATTGTAAAGAAAAAATGGCTTGTTAAAAAAAGAATCATGAAATTACCTCTGATTAGTTGTAAATGTAAACTGTTTTTGATTTGATTTGATTTGATTTTTTTTTCTTTCTGAATGAATGGAGTGCTTTTTATTTTCATACTTAGATGACATTGGTGAAAAGACACATCTGTACGAGAAGCCGTCCTTCTGTACTTTGCTGACACAAGTTCCATTTGTTATAAATGAATTCTATTAAAAAATGTAAGTGTTATGCACACGCGTTTCCTTCCTTCGCTCATGTGAGCCGACGACCATCAGCGGGAATCAGTCCACGAATACTTCAACTCTGTTATGGGAATACATCACAGCGGTTGGTATTCATTTATTTTCTAATATTGTTCAAAGCACAAAAATATTGCCTGTAAACAATGCGGTGTGGTTGTATTTGTTAGTTAAAGCTATTCATAATTTTTGCACTGACCTTCAACCCTGTAACATTTTGAATGTAACAGGGTTGATATTTTTAAAAGCCAAAAGTCATGGATGGTTGGATTGATTGATTGATTTTTCATCTTGAGGATTAGTAATGTGTACTTACAGTATCTAGTCATCATCTAGTACTGATTTTTTTTTTTTTCCCAAATATATATTAGCTTTCTGTCAGGTTATTCAAGTACTAAGCATGTCAAAATGAAACGGTGAGCTCAAAATTTAATTGTTTAGCTGATTTGTTGATTGCATTCCTATTCTGCTGTATGATTGTTCATATTTCATTCATTTAGCCATCTTCAGGATGTTGCACTGCAATAGTGGAGCACATTTATATTGGTTTTGTGAAGCCGAATGGAAATGTATTGAGTAAAAGCCAATCAGATAGGAATCCAGTGCATCGAGCAGCATGAAGTGAGTGTAAATGCCCTCCGTGATAATCCTGCAGAGGTTTCTGATGTTTTATGTCACACGAGAGAGAAACTCACACCGTCTGAGCAAAACAGAGCGAGAATGATCTGATGAAAGACGAGTGCTTATGAGAACAAATGGAGATTTGAGAGAGAAAGCTGGGCAGCAGTAACTGGAATGAAGGTTAATGATTCACCGCTGCCATGCATGTGCTCAAATCCCACAATGCATCTGTTCTGTGTTTAGAACTCTCCTGCTCTCCTTCAGGTTGTCTAGCAGAAAGAAAACTGCAGTTATGTCACATCCAATGCCTTCCAGAGGGCATACATAATGTGGGAAGTTTGTGTTTCTGTGAGTATGAATTATTCAGTAAAACGCCATTTATAATTCGCTGCACTGTAAAGTGGCTGAAGGTCTGCTAATGTGATCCTGATGCGACTGCAGTGACGTCACTTCCTTTCACGAAGTTATCGTTTGAAGGTTACCGTGTTTTCTGGAGTTACGCTGCCATGACAACAAGCTGAAAGTTAGATGTGAACTGACAGAGACGAGTTAAGATGTGCATGTTGAAGTCTAACATTTTGCGTATTGTTCGCTGTACTTACAATGTTTGTTTTTTCCTTCTTTTAAAAGCCCGAGGGGAAAATCTGAATTATTTTCTGTGTTAATCAACATTATGCCACAAAAGCTGTGGACAGAGTTTGACACGTAATAAACCCCGAACAAAGCTTTGACCTGGGATACGAGAAAGTATTTTAACACCAATATCACGCAGCAATGATATGTTTAAAGGAATATCTGATTTCTGTGGAAGCTTGTTTCCACCACGGAATAAAAATATGTTTGCCAGTTTGTCTTAAAATTCTGATTTTTTTTCTCAGAATTCTGAGTTTATACACAGCAATGCTGTTTCTGCCACGGAATAATTATTATTTATTTTTTTTAAACCTGCAACATTTTATCTCACATTTCTGACTTTTTTTCTCACAAATAAAACCTCTAAATTCTGACATTTTTTCAAGTTCTTGTAATTGTGTAATAAACTCTTAATTGCAATTTTTACATCTTGCATTTCTGATTATTATTTCTCAAAATTCTGAGTTTTCATCTCAGAAGTTATACATTCAGAATTACGATTTTACATCTTGCAATTTTGGCTGTTTCTCAGAATTATGAGTTTACATATTGCTATTCTGAATTTTCTGAATCTACATTTCGCAATTTTTTTTCTACAGAATTATGTTATTCATTTATTTTATTTTCTGAAAAAAAAAAAGAATTGTAAGGTTTTTTTTATAACTTTTGCAATTACATTTAGTATATATATATATTTTTTTATTTATTTCCTTCTGTGGTGGAAACAAGCTTCCATAGATGTCTGTGGTTTGTGTTGATGTTGAATTGACTCCATCACACTCATGGAGCTGCAGTCAGTTCGTATCGATTCAAGCGTCACATGACGTTGTGCAGTGTTTGGTAATATTCCCGTGAAGCTCTTTTCACCTGAGCGCTGCAGCCCTGAATAAAGCCTGCGCCGTTCGCTTTGACCTCCGGGCACACCGAGTCGATTATTCCAGGCTGGCAACAGCGAAGACTTCATCAGCCTAATCAAAATAAATCACCAGAGCAGCAGAAAGTGAGCGGCGTTAAGCTCTTTGCTGTTTCCCCCGAGACCCGCGGCCTCTTAACGGCAAGCAAATCCATTATAGCGGGAGCAGATGTGGCAACTCAGCGTTCAGAGCCGGTTTAGCTGGAGAACCCGCGATACGCCGCTCGACCGCCATCGAGGACTCCAGTCATAAACCTGCTGTAATGAAAAAAGTGCATTTCACCAGGATAGTGCGTGGAAAATCGAGTGGGAACGCCACAGTTCCTGCTGTTCCCTGCAGCGAGAGAATCAGCCTCTAATTCAAATAAGATGTCAAGTGCTGATCTTTTTATTTTCTGTGACAGTCGGAGGCGGTTTGGAGTTCGGGATCATTTCAACTGATAGTCGCCCTGCTGGAACCCTATCAGGCTTTTTCTGGAAGCCTGGACGGAATGATAATTAGGAATAAAGCTCCTGCGATGTACGTATATACTGACTGCAGAAATGCTCACGGATTGAGCTGCAAATATTTGACCATGTCTGAACGCAAACTGGCCTTATGCTGCACTTTAATATCCACAATCAAGCAGCATTCGCCACACACGTATGTAATCTGACGTATTTCTGTGTGGAACAGATTTCATTGGTATTTAGTACCGTGAGAAACCAAGGGTGTGTTTACATGACAATGAATGTACTAAAACTGCAAAGGCGACTACGACTGCAAAAGCGACTGAAAAGGCTGTATTATTCATGCCAGGCCAGTAGGTGGCGATGTCAGTTTGTGAAGAAACACTACGTGCCTGCGATATTACATATTCTGATAGACTGAACACAATACGCATGAAGTCAGTTTTCAAAATTTAACTTTTTTTGTAGTTCACACAGAGACAAGAACGGTATTGTTTTCAAAAATGTCTTTAACCTTTTATACACTGAAAAAACAAACATAAAATAAAAAAATAAAAACTTTTTTCAATAAAATGTATAGTAAAGTATAGAATTAAGTAAGTCTACTTAATTTATGTAAAATTAGCAACAAAAAAGTAAATTTAACATGGCCAGCTAGAGTTTGATGAGTAATTTCTACTTAATTATTTTATGTTAACTCTGCAATACTCAAGCACATTTCACTCAGTCACGGTTTGTAAACTGTACTCGATATAGCACTGAGACAAATCATGCTGTTAAAGCATGTGGTTCACTTACAAGCATGCAAGCAAGCAAATAGACAGCTTGTGATCCTTTTCAGATAATATATAGTAATAGTTTCACAGAGACCTCCATACTTGGTACACGACACACAATGAAAAATGGTAACCTTACTAATTATTCATGCCCCAGTGCATGCTGGGAAAAACAGGATCATCACATAAAACTACTTTTTTTCAGAGAAGGCCAATTTGAACTCATTTTAATTTTTAATCCATCTCACCTCCGGTGCTTGGCGGTTTGACAAAAAAAGAAAAAATCTAAGTATATAATAATAGAAAAATTACTCAAGTACTTGTAAGTAAATATTAATTTTCAGCTTTATTTACTTGACCTAAGAATCTATTTTTACATTGTATATTATTATCAGCACCAGATGGAATTTGTGAATTTTTTTCAGCATTTTCTTGCACTAATTTATGGGACAAAAACTTCAAACATGGTAAAATGTGTTAAATGGACCCGAGAGTACTATTCTCTTATTGGTAGCTGAAAAATTTAGCACAAAACCTAAATATTAAATAAATGAACACACCAGGGATGGGATGTATATCACTTTGTCAATGATGCCTGTTCCAATTCTGCAGGTTCGGTGTGAGTCTGTTTATTATAGTAGAGGAATGTGTCACACGTTTATGAAGTCATGGGAGCACATTGAGTGGATGTGTATTTCCCTTAGAGGAATGATTGATCTCAATCAATCTGTCTCAAACATTATGCTGTACTTTTCCTATCATTGAAACTGAATGAACAAGTCTACTTTTGCTCAAGCTTGCATTTATTATGTGTGTGGCTTTAGAGGAACAGAAAACTCTTTCTCGGATTTCTGTGGATATGACATATTTGCTTTCTGTATTCAGTGTTACATCATAGATCTAACTTTAACCCAAAAATTACAGGGCAGTGACTGGTTAATAGGAAGTTAAAGGTATATTCACCCAAAAATTAAAATTCTATCATCTTTTACTCGCCCTCAAATTGTTCATCTTTGACACAAGTGGAGATTTTTGAATATTCTCTCCTAGTTTTTCTCCTGCATTGAAATTTTTAAGTTTCGAAATGCTCATAAAGACATGATAAACGTAATCCATATGAACCAAGTAATTTAAGTCTACTGAATACAATGAACAGATTTAATTTAGGCATTTTTCAAAATATGAATATTTATCAAAATGATGAGGTAATATTGAAAAAATCTATGATTTATGGATGAACTGTCCTTTTAAGCAACATTTACAACTACATATAGTAACTATTACACTGCCTAATGCACTTCAAATTGACGACTTATATATCTGTTAACTTGGAATGAAAAATGCGTTGAATGACCCTATACTAAAAGGTACTTAGCAAATACAGATGGCAGAGTAGCTATTGAATAAAACAAAATCGCATAGTCAACAAATTTGAAAATCTGACATCCAGGAAATAATATGTCTGCAGCAGTTTTACCACAAATACAGAAAAGTGATACCACCACAACCACCAGAAATACTTAATTGTGTCTGCTTTACAATGAAACACAAGGGGAGCAGATGTGGCAACTCAGCGTTCAGAGCCGGTTTAGCTGGAGAACCCGCGATACGCCGCTCGACCGCCATCGAGGACTCCTGTCATAAACCTGCTGTAATGAGAAAAGTGCATTTCACCAGGATAGTGCGTGGAAAATCGAGTGGGAACGCCACAGTTCCTGCTGTTCCCTGCAGCGAGAGAATCAGCCTCTAATTCAAATAAGATGTCAAGTGCTGATCTTTTTATTTTCTGTGACAGTCGGAGGCGGTTTGGAGTTCGGGATCATTTCAGCTGATAGTCGCCCTGCTGGAACCCTATCAGGCTTTTTCTGGAAGCCTGGACGGAATGATAATTAGGAATAAAGCTCCTGCGATGTACGTATATACTGACTGCAGAAATGCTCACGGATTGAGCTGCAAATATTTGACCATGTCTGAACGCAAACTGGCCTTATGCTGCACTTTAATATCCACAATCAAGCAGCATTCGCCACACACGTATGTAATCTGACGTATTTCTGTGTGGAACAGATTTCATTGGTATTTAGTACCGTGAGAAACCAAGGGTGTGTTTACATGACAATGAATGTACTAAAACTGCAAAGGCGACTACGACTGCAAAAGCGACTGAAAAGGCTGTATTATTCATGCCAGGCCAGTAGGTGGCGATGTCAGTTTGTGAAGAAACACTACGTGCCTGCGATATTACATATTCTGATAGACTGAACACAATACGCATGAAGTCAGTTTTCAAAATTTAACTTTTTTTGTAGTTCACACAGAGACAAGAACGGTATTGTTTTCAAAAATGTCTTTAACCTTTTATACACTGAAAAAACAAACATAAAATAAAAAAATAAAAACTTTTTTCAATAAAATGTATAGTAAAGTATAGAATTAAGTAAGTCTACTTAATTTATGTAAAATTAGCAACAAAAAAGTAAATTTAACATGGCCAGCTAGAGTTTGATGAGTAATTTCTACTTAATTATTTTATGTTAACTCTGCAATACTCAAGCACATTTCACTCAGTCACGGTTTGTAAACTGTACTCGATATAGCACTGAGACAAATCATGCTGTTAAAGCATGTGGTTCACTTACAAGCATGCAAGCAAGCAAATAGACAGCTTGTGATCCTTTTCAGATAATATATAGTAATAGTTTCACAGAGACCTCCATACTTGGTACACGACACACAATGAAAAAATGTAACCTTACTAATTATTCATGCCCCAGTGCATGATGGGAAAAACAGGATCATCACTTTGATATTTACTTAAAGAATCCTCGTGAACATCACAAACAATTCCAAGTAAATACTAAGTTCAAACTTTAATTTCTACAATATTATATTAAGCACTAATATAGAATTTACTCCTTTTTTTAATCTTGCCTGAACTCAGGGGCGGACTTACCCATTAGGCAAAGGTAGGCGACCGCCTTGGGCCCCCAAAAGCCAAGGGCCCCCTAAAATGCTTTTCATATAGGATATGCGCATTAAGCGCTGACACGTGAACGGTTGCTGTTTACGGTGTTTATTACCACGACAACCGTCCGAGTCAGTGGCGCATTAAGCGCTGACACGCGAACGGTTGCTGTTTACGGTGTTTATTACCACGACAACCGTCCGAGTCAGTGGCGCCTGCAGGTGTACGGCACTGTGAGCACCATGAGCGCTCAGACTGACCTGAAAGCCAATTTCTGCATAGTAATATTACGCCAAATAGAAGCAGAAAATCGTGCTATACGCACGTTCATGAGACCGGGTTAGCCTACAACAATTAATTTGTTGGCTGTTTTACAAACGGGAATACAACGAATTCATGACAATGTTTTACATTCAAGCTACCGTAAAATTTATAGTGAAAATTACTATAAAAACGTCTAGAATGCAATAAAGTAATTTTAAAGCTGTTTTTTAAAGCATTTGCTGCATGGATAAAAAA